TAAATGTAAATTATCGTCATCATTATTGAGCTCGGGCTGCCGGGTTAAGAGCGCAGTGCGCTAACGACTGTGCCACCGCTCCACCCAGCAACTGCATCCATTACTTTAATATTCACGTGTTCCTGGTCTTTTATAGTCACGTGTTCCTGGTCTTTTATAGTCATGTGTTCCTGCTCTTTTATAGTCACGTGTTCCTGGTCTTTTATAGTCACGTGTTCCTGGTCTTTTATAGTCACGTGTTCCTGGTATTTTATAGTCACGTGTTCCTGATCTTTTATAGTCACGTGTTCCTGCTCTTTTATAGTCACGTGTTCCCGATCTTTTATAGTCACGTGTTCCTGGTCTTTTATAGTCACGTGTTCCTGATCTTTAATAGTCACGTGTTCCTGGTCTTTTATAGTCACGTGTTCCTGATCTTTTATAGTCACGTGTTCCTGATCTTTTATAGTCACGTGTTCCTGATCTTTTATAGTCACGTGATCCTGATCTTTTATAGTCACGTGTTCCTGGTCTTTTATAGTCACGTGTTCCTGGTCTTTAATAGTCACGTGTTCCTGGTATTTTATAGTCACGTGTTCCTGGTATTATACAGTCACGTGTTCCTGGTATTTTATAGTCACGTGTTCCTGGTCTTTTATAGTCACGTGTTCCTGATCTTTAATAGTCACGTGTTCCTGATCTTTTATAGTCACGTGTTCCTGATCTTTAATAGTCACGTGTTCCCGGTCTTTTATAGTCACGTGTTCCTGATCTTTTATAGTCACGTGTTCCCAGTCTTTTATAGTCACGTGTTCCTGGTCTTTTATAGTCACGTGATCCTGGTATTTTATAGTCACGTGTTCATGATATTTTATAGTCACGTGTTCCTGGTCTTTTATAGTCACGTGTTCCTGATCTTTTATAGTCACGTGTTCATGATATTTTATAGTCACATGTTCATGATATTTTATAGTCACGTGATCCTGATCTTTTATGGTCACGTGTTCCTGATCTTTTATAGTCACGTGTTCATGATCTTTTATAGTCACGTGTTCATGATATTTTATAGTCACGTGTTCCTGGTATTTTATAGTCACGTGTTCCTGGTCTTTTATAGTCACGTGTTCATGATCTTTTATAGTCACGTGATCCTGATCTTTTATAGTCACGTGTTCCTGGTCTTTTATAGTCACGTGTTCCTGATCTTTAATAGTCACGTGTTCCTGATCTTTTATAGTCACGTGTTTCCGGTCTTTTATAGTCACGTGTTCCTGGTCTTTTATAGTCACGTGTTCCTGATCTTTTATAGTCACGTGTTCCCGATCTTTTATAGTCACGTGTTCCTGGTGTGTAATTGGACGTCAGGTAGAGAGCGCTTCAGCAATTAGAAGTACCAAAGGGATACGGACAGAGGGGTCACAGCAATATCCTACTGACTCCTCTTTTCGCATTACTTCTGATCGTGTTTATTTAAAGTAAGCTCAAGCGTCTCATTCAAGTAAGATTGCATTTTTCTTAGTTTTTTCGGTAAAGTCACGTTGAAGAGAAACAACAAAATAATAAAATATATATAAAACAATAAAAAAATTATCACGACGTTTCGACCATAACTCAAACGGTCATCTTCAGGTGTTTCGACCATAACTCAAACGGTCATCTTCAGGTGTGAAGATGACCGTTTGAGTTATGGTCGAAACGTCGTGAGAATTTTTTTATTGTTTTATATATATTTTATTATTTTGTTGTTTCTCTTCAACGTGACTTTACCGAAAAAACTAAGAATATGAATTACTGCAGTCACGAAAGCTTTAAATCAAAATTTAAGATTGCATTGTTAGCAACTTGGCAGCGAAGTCAAATAGGGGGCATTGTTAGCCGCGGTGGAGCGACGTCAAATTGGCAAATGCTACCCTCGGCTTTCCGTGACACCTCCCCCCCTCCCACTTCTCCGATGTCTCTCCACACATTTTATTTGTGGGGTGACGAACCGCACATGATGTAGTTTCTCCCAAATAAATATTTCACTCGGGAGTTGCGTCATCACGGCCAATGGAAATGTGTGGAAGGACGGTTCCCTTTGGAAGTGGACATGTCAATTCCGTGCAAGTCAAGAGGATGCGACTGATATACAAGCAACCGCACGTCGCTCACGGGCGCGCATTATTATTTTTTTGCCTCGGTGAATATCGGCAGCTAATTCCCCGAAGCGCCACGACCAACTGAGAAATGATGAGGAAGCGAATGAAAACCGTCGCAATGTCAACTCTCGTTTTTTTTAAAACGCGAACTATCCTGAGGGCAGCTGAACAGCATTTTGCTCATTTGTCATACAGTATTTACATTTCTGCCCGTGCAGTGTGACCCTTATGCCATCGTGACACAGGGCAATTTTTGATAGGGGGGGAAAGAATATAAGGATTGGCTTAGTAGGCTCGTAGCAATTGCCACCCTTATCAGTGATTCGATTAATCGTCACGACTTGATTTCAGATTTTTTTTTTGGGGGGGGGGTACAAACATTTGGCATCTTGTTGGTAGTTTCAATGTCTGTGTCTTTATCCTTCAGTTTTTCTTGGTATATTAGCCTAAACTGTGACACGAACATATCATTTGCATAAGTCGTACACGTCTTCTCACAAAGTACGATTCGACGCATATGTCGCACCGATAAGAATCGATTTTAATTGTTGAATGGATGTAAATTTTGATTTAAAGCTTTCGTGACTGCAGTAATTCATATTCTTAGCTAACTTTTTTTTTTATAAATACACCGTTTAAAAATAAATGCAAACCGCCACTTCTTTCAAATGTTTCTTGCCGTTGGTTTTTCATACCTGATGACGACCGTTTGTGTTATGGTCGAAACGTCGTGAATTTTTTATTGTTTTATATATTTTATTATTTTATTGTTTCCCTTCAACGTGACTTTACCGAAAGAGCTAAGAATATGAATGGATGTAGTTAGGTTCCTTTGGCCTATGTGTAGCGAGAACACCCTTTTGGAGTTGGAGTAAATAAACCATGGCAACATATATGCTTTTTAAAACATTTAATTTTTCATTATATACACGGATGTTTGGTTTCATGCATGGTCCCAACGCTTTAAAACAATACTGTTGTGCCACAAGAATAATTTTCACATTGGCGTAAAATCTTGATCAATGCCTTGAAAGATATTTAAAAAAAACATTTGCAAGCGTGGCATATTATTAAACGTCTGATACAATACACTACACTTTCAACTTTAATTAGGCCTGTGTATTTTTTTTTCCAATTCACCTATCGGGGTAAAACCATCAAATTAAATGACGGTGGTAAAATGAACAAGAGGCAAGATACACAATAAAGCATATACGCAGTTGCTATCACACAATTGAGGTGTGAAAATAATATATTTACCAACAATAAATTCACATGGAAAATGGAACAAAATATGGAAGGCAAAAAAGAGTGATTTTAAAGTGCTCTTGTTCAAATAAATTGCATCAAAAAACACTTGAAACCAATTGCACAATAAACAAGTTTGGCATTGATAAATCAACATCGCATATTTATTCGTGGCTCGTGGAGTACAACAGCACTAACTCGTGGATTTAATAAGAACAATATTGCTCTAATACATTAGCATAACTGAAGGCAAATGACAATGCCATTTTCTTTTAATATTCAAGGTTCATTCTTAAGAGGTTTTTTTGGGGTTAGATCGCGCAAATATATAAATGTGTCGTTAAAACCCGCCACCACCCGACACAGCCAACCAGTCGGGGTTGTCACGTAAACAGAGCGTGGCCAATTCGTCACTAGTACAGCACGCCCGTGTGTTGGAGAACCAAGCCACAGCATTTACCATCTGAGTACGACGTTTCGCCAGTAATTACACCTAGCTTCATCAGGGGATGGGATTACTGACTCAGTAATCCCCCCCCCCCCCCCCCCACTTTGCACAAGAGCGCAGAAGCGTGGTCACCACATCTACGCCTCTATATAAAGAACGAAACATGTGGACTTCTCCACAAATCTGGCTGTCGCCTGATGAGGCTAGTTGTAATTAATGGCGAAACGTCGTACTCAAGATTGTAAATGTTGTGGCTTGGTTCTTCAACACACCGGTGTGCTGTACGAGTGACGAATTGAACCACGTTTTGTTTACGTGACAACCCTTACTAATGGGCTGTGTCGGGTGGTGGCGGGTTTTAACGACACATTTATATATTTACGCGATCTAACCCCAAAAAACCTCTTATGGATGATATTGGTCGCGAAAGCTTACTACGTGTTAAAAGGCTCATTCTCTTGGACACAAATGTGAGGAAATATCTCGTCGTCAAACTCCTGCGATGCAACTTCGCGTAAAAACTTCACTCGAACATAAATCGGTGGGAGTCCCCTGTTGTCTATCTGAAGCCAAACTTCACCTTGTGAATGCCTTCTATTGGAGCACACCTTTAACAAATTGATTTTCGTACAATTTAAAGTGGGACAAAACGGTTTACACCTATTCACTTTCTGCTATGCATAGAGTATAGGAATGTTATCAACCTTTCCCATACATCAACAATTATGCATGAAACGCATCATTATAATTTAGGTATAATGTGCGGTTTTCTTCAGCCCAATGGCATGACACTGAACGAATGAGAATGCAATCCAAGGTAGGTGGATTGCGAGTGTGGAATTTTCACATGCTCGGAGCTGCTTCAGGAACATATGGTATCGGAGACCTCGAGGATAGATTATTAAATCTAATTGTGACACCGAATCATGGCAATTCCATAAAATTGCTGCAGAGATGGACAGGCAAACTTAAACCTACAGCAAAACACATTCTCCTTTTGCCCAGTGGCTTTGATTTATTCTTACAAATAAATAATGATTTCACAAATTCAAGCCGGATTTCAGAGAACAGAGGGCGTTTATGATCATTTTATGTTGAACATTGGTGACGGCGCAGCAAAGGAATATTTGTGATGAGCTTGGCCTCAGTCGACACTACATTCAAGGAATAATTTGCTATTCCTGTTGGCGATCCAATGCTTACACCCCGAAGCAAAACGAGTCTCCCTGTGAAGTGAAACGACCATAGCTTTACCTCCCTGTCGGTCTTCTTTGCAGCCCTTGCACCATAGGCCCAAAATTGGCTTATCCGGTTACCAACTCGGACGGCAATTGCTGACAATTATTTCTTGAAGCTATTTTATTTCCAAGGTCACAAATTATGGCACGAAAGCTCAAGTCACTGTGGAAGGCGTTTGTGAAAGAGTTTTGGTAAATAATGATATTGTAGAACGTTTGACATAAAATATCATTTTGGAGGGGGGGGAAACGCTTTTGAAAACGTCTACATCAAAATGAAGTGTGTCGCTAAAACACGGCGTGTGTATATATGCTAACCTTTCGACAAGAATAGTATTCGCCATCCCAGGGAGTAAAGACCAACCCACTCGGATCACAGGCTGTTAATGTTTTTGTTCCGTAGCAAACGTAGCCTACTTTGTGCTCAATACAAAGTAATGTAAACATGATATTCACTTAAGGTGTATGCTATTTTTCAATAAACAAATAAAATTATCAAACGAGAAGGCAAGTGACCCAATTGCTAATCAAAGACCCATCCTTAAAGTCTTTGTCTCTATGTCAAGACTCCTCATGGGCAGAAGTCTCAATGCAATGCACAGTCATCTGACGTGCACACACAATGCATAACTGGTTCTAAAATGGTTCAAAGAAGTTGGCATCAGACCCTAAGATGGAAGACAGTTGAATAAAGCGAATGTAAAGGCATGCTTTTAACGTTTAAATGTAGTGTTTTACATTTATACGACCCCCTCAATGTAAACAAAAATTCTAAATAAATATTTGCAAAGAAATAAACAATTCAGCTTAAGAATTATCAATACATCGACATTAACACTGTCGCAGAATGTCCAAAATGTGTTGCCTTTTCAGTGAAAGTCCTAAGCATTGCCTTTTCCATGTCGGTTTAGACAAACGCAAGCAGCATCCAAATTAAGGATGGCCCGTAAACAGAAAGGGAAAAAGTAAAAATTGCACTGTCGCGTCAATAAAACATCACCGCACCGGGCCACGAGCTCGCCGCTTTACACCCAGCACGACACAGCGTGGCGTTACGACGACACGCTAAAACGATCCTCCCCATCTGCGCTTCCGACGCCGTGAACTTGTACAGGAACTTGGCTGGCGTCCCCCAGACTACGGCAGTGGACGGCTGTTGAGCGAAGAGGACATAAAGCCATCAAGGGCAACAAGGCGTGTGTACGTGTGTTTGTGCAAGATGATTTCCAGGTGCCTGCACATTCCTGCGAATTAAATCCAAGACAAAATGTCCCGGTCTGGCCTCAGTATTTTTTTGGTATAAAATATTTGGAACAAAATTAAATTGGCCTGAAAACAGATTTACATCTCTCCGTCTAGCCCACCTTGCCAAAAAAAACAAGTACCATATCTGCTTGGCAAATAAACACTTTGTTGAAAAGGCAGATCATTTATTTACAATATTTCCCATGGAAAATGTGTTTATCTTGGTAATTTATGTTAATTACAGCACACTATCACAGCCAAACATCCAATAACAATTCCCAGTCGACGTATCATATTAATGGTTATTGTTTGTGTTGGATGGATTGAATATTTCAGAGATTACCCACTTGGGTTATGCCAATGTGCCAGCCGATGCTTGTCACAGTGCCCTTGGTGTGCAACAATGGTCTTTAGGTGAACTAATGAGTGAGATAAAGTCGATTCATTAAAAGCAAACGTCCAGCAGAGACCGTATCGGACCGCCTTGAGAAATGTGGTGTGCGCAGTTTGGCAGCATTAAACTGTACACAAGCAAGAATACGCGTACCTCCTTACACGTACAGTCTCTAGAAAAATTTGAGACTTTTTTTTTTATGGCCGTGGAAAAATAATCCCTGGAAGTGATACAGCTCGTTCCTAAAATTTTCAATGAAGGTCAATAACAGTTTGTGAATGTTTTTTTTCTCTCCAAATGTTACCAAAATCATACACAGAAAGCATGCAAACTGACAAGAACATCGTTCTTCACTCAAACCTGACCTTGGGGCGGGTGGGGGGGTGTGTCATTTTACCATCCAATTTTCACACAACAATATTACAAGCAAAAAGCCCTAGGTACCGATTAACAGGTCACAAGAATCTCTGCAGGAGACGGTGAGGAAAGTGGGCAAGTCCTCTGCAGAGGTGAGTTCCTGCATGCAGAAAAGGGGTGATGAATTTTGAATTCATTTCACACTCATCCCTTTCACCGGTACCATCGTCAACCAAGTCAAAACAATTTAGGAGTCGCATACTCAACCATCGATCATTCAAAGTGAACAGCAGTTAAATATCCTTTTTTTTACAAGTTTGTAATCGGGGGCAATGTATCGGAATCAACATTTTTTTTTTTTCCCAACGCAGATGGCCACAGAAGAGCCAGGCACGACTGTAAACCGTCCTGCCGCGGACGGGCCCGTCCCGGCACGCTACCGAGACGCCTGCTCTACATCGGCCGCCTGCACCTCTGCGCCCTCCTCCGAGCACCACGTCTCCCCACGGAGGTAGTCGGCGAACAGCTCCTTGGCGCGGTGCAGGATCTTGCCGACGTTGTGCTTGCGCACAAGCCGGTCGAAGTGCATGGCCAGGTCGTTGTAGTCGAGTGCGTTGCGCATTATGTGGTCCCTGTGCTCGAGCAAGATGGCCAGGCACATGAAGAGCACAAACGGGTTGCCCTTGCCAAACTCCGGCGGCGGAGGCAGCGACTGCGCGGGTTGCACCACAGGCGAGCCCGGCTCTATCGCCTTGGCGTTGATCAGGGCGGGCGGCGCGTTGCTGAGCTTGTGCCCGGCCACCGAGAGGAGCGACGCCTTGAACGACAACGACAGGCTGCTCGCCGAACGCCTCATTTGCTCCAGCGCGCTCGTGTCGGGGTCGGGCTCCAACATCTTGGGGCTCATCAGCGGCTTCTCCTCGTCCTCGTCTTCCTCCGATATCTCCGACGCGGCGCTCCCGGACGACTTCCTCAGCGAGGGCCGCCTGCCCGCTACGAGGCCAAGGCACCGCTCGTCGCGGGCGGCCACGTTCAGGTTTCCCACCGGGCAAGGCGCCATCTGGAACACGTTTCCGTTCGGCACCGCGCCGACGGAGGCGATGGCGGCGCCGGCTCCCGTGGGCGTCAGCGTGGGCGTCTGGTAGTTCTCCGGCTGGGACTTGGCAAGGGCGGCGCGGGGCTGAGCGGGGAACGTGCCGGGGGCAGCACCAGCAGTCCTGCAAGCGGTGGAGGTCATCTGTGGCCGCACCATGCGGCGGTGCGGCGCCTGCTGGCTGCACTCCGTGCCATCGAGGGGGGCGCCCTTCAGCTCGAGCTCCACCTGCGGAGGATCGGGCGGAAGCGAGCTCCACATGATCTCCAGCATGCGCAGCGCGTCCTCGAAGGCGAACTCGCGTTTCAGGTCGAGCAGCAGCCAGCGGTAGCAGAAGAGGAGGTCGCTCGCGCCACACGACACCAGGTAGTTGTGGAACTCGGGGTCGTAGAAGCGCAGCAGTAGCGCCAGGTGCCGGAACTTGGTGGACATGACCTCGCCGTCGGGCAGGAAGTTTCCCCGCAGGCGCTTCATGATGCCGCAGAAGCACACGTACGCGTGCGCCTCGTTGTCCATGATGAAGAGGATGGGCGAGGCGATGTCGCTCATGCCCTGGCAGTAGGAGACGCGCGGGTGGTTGACGGCGTACGTAATGAGCAGGTCGTGCAGCGCACGCACGTGCAGGTTGTCGTCGGAGCCGGCGTAGTACGGCAGCGTCCGGTCAGTCCTGAGCACGTCCTTGAGGACCATGCCAACGGTGAACTCCAGCTCCTCCTTGTTGGCCTGCATGCTCCACTGGCTCTTGAGCGCCTCGTACTCCTTGGACTTCTTCTTCATGTAGTCCAGCCTCTCCTGCGCCGTCAGGCCCTCCGGGTACACGTTGAGCAGGTGCCTCCACACGACCTGCGCATTGCGGCGTGCCGATGATCGGTGTCAACGAACCGAAAATGTTTTCTTTTTAATTCTGCGATTGCCTATGAAAAGGCATTAACAACGATTGCCGATTTTTTGTCAATAAAGTAGGGACGTTAAAGATTCACACCCCCCCTAGCGATTCGTTGTAACAACAGAATCGGCGTGACAATTCAAGAACACATCGAACACAAGGTGAGAACTGGTTGGAAGGGGGTTTGGAGGGAGGTAGGCGGGGGGGGGAGGGGGTGGGGGTTCGTGTGTGCGGCACCTTGCGCAGGGATGGCTCCAGGCCGCCATGGTAGACGCGCAGACGCAGCTCCTCGGGCCGCACAAGCTGCCCGTCGCGGCTCAGGAACGAGTGGAACTCCGCGTCGCCCAGCGGCGGCTTTAGGGGTCGCGCCACGTCCTCCGTGTACGACCAGCTTAGCACCTGCTGCACCTTGGAGAGCGTGCGCCCCACCTGCACAGGGCACACACACGGCAGGGTCCGCAATTAACGTCTTGTCGCGGTGGCGAAATGTTAACCGCCTCGCCTGGTATGCAAGAGGACGTGGGTTCGACCCCGACGCCTGTATATTTGGAGTTTGCATGTCTCTCACTGCGTGTTTGCGTGGATTTTTCTCTGGGTCCTCCGATTTTTACCGACACATTTAGAATCGTGCGTTTCGAGTACTTGGCTGCTTTACATTTCCACGTGATAAGCCACTTCGTTGAGCTATCATTTGTGGATAAGCCGCTTCTGAAAAAGAGCCATACAGCTCAGTGGGCCTTACATGGTAAAATAAAAATAGTTTTGTCTTGTACTTCAGAGTTTATTGATACCACGTTCAATTTTGATTTAAAGCTTTCGTGACTGCAGTAATTCATATTCTTAGCTCTTTCGGTAAAGTCACGTTGAAGGGAAACAATAAAATAATAAAATATATATAAAACAATAAAAATTCTCACGACGTTTCGACCATAACACAAACGTGACTTTACCGAAAGAGCTAAGAATATGATAGCACGTTGTAAATAAATGCTGTTTTGTCATTTCACTGCTGGATGAGGATCCCTCTCCGTGCTGCGTGGGTTGCGTGGAGATGATTTTATCATACTTCACAGGCTGGTCGGTGCGGGTTGGTGAAGAAATGGGAGCATTGTACATAAAGACAATTGCTTTTAGCTGCACTGCCTTCTATTGCCCTCTTGTGCCCACAATGCAGTCCCTATTTTTTTTTTGCCTGGTGCAAATTCTGTTCAAATGAGTAATGTCCCTCTACCAAATCTGGCCAGGCAGGGGCAGATATGATTATATAAAAAAAATGATAAAACAGTCTAAGTTACATTGTTTTTAGTCCGTCACTTTCAAGGTCATAAAAATAATCAATGGTAACATATTGTGGTATAAACCTAGCTGCAAACCGAGCTGAACCTTGACTAGTTGTGTCTGTAATCTATTATTATACCTACTATAATCACCCAGGCATGGCCTTAACGCTCGTGACGTCACTCCACATCGATCAGCTCTCCTCATTAATATTCATGAGCAGGTGACGTCCTCCAAATGGACACCCCCCCCACCCCTACTCATTAATAATCATGAGCAGGTCACGTTTACTCAATATGGAGTACTACCCCCCTCACTAATAATCATGTGCAAGTGACGTCACTCCACATCGAACAGCCCCCCTCATTAATAATCATGAGCAGGTGACGCCCTCCAAATGGACCCCCCCCCCCCCATTCATAATAATTAGCGGCTGACGTCACTCCACATGGGGGGCCGAGGCGCCTCCTCCCCCCTCCTCGGCGTCAACTCACAACCCTCACTACAAAGGCAGAACCCTCACGTCACGTGATCTCCGTGACGCTGTTGAGACATCAAAGTAAAAAGGACGTCATGATGAACAAGGGATTATAACCTTAAAATGAAATAGGTCTGTGTTACCGCGCCTTTACAAATTCCACACGCATTAATGCAATGAATATATCACGTCTGCTTTTCGCTCGCAAGTTTCATACTTACTGCAATACACCCGTCCTTGGATGGGCAAAAGGCTAGTTAATTATAATTCACAATGACCTAACAATTAGGTCAACCCACATACAGCAATACAGTTGGTTGCATAGAAAACACACCATTTATGGGGAAGATAATTGTATTGTTCTGTTTCATCGTTACATAAACATTGTACAAAGAAAACTTTATTTTCAAATAAAGTGGGAGTATTTTGCTGCCTTTAAATTAAGAAAATGAACTGAAACCTTATAATGCTTTGAGAAGACGTTCACACGTTTAAAAAAATGTATTATAGTGGCAGTTATTGAAGGGTTGACCAATCAAAGTTTGATTCACTAAACTCGATTATAAAAAATGTACAATATTTAACTTTCACTTTGATATCTTAATCAGGAAACCTTTTTCAGCAGCATGCAATATTTCCATTGCATAAACATTACGTTTCAACACAGGCTTCACAATCTGACCATCGCAGTGGAAACTCTTAGGTAGTGGGGGGTCTAGTTTAACCAAACCCTTCTTAATACGGGAGCCAATTGTATTGTGCGGATGGCCTTCGGCTGCCCTCGCTCCTAAACGACAAAGGCCCTCGGCACCACCACAACACCCATCCCTAACCGATTCTAACCTCTCTGTGCGAGGCATGGAGCAGCAATGTTGAGGTGATGTATGGCTCCCTCGTGGAACCGGTTAACAAATCAATCTGACCACGAGCTGCTTTCTCACGGGATGCTGCCGAGAGGCGGAGATTGCCGTAAATTGCATGCACGGGCAATGCCTGCATCTATAGACACAGCCATGCGTGGCTTGGCTCTGGAAGGCCCACCTCGACTACATTGCACGAGCAAGCCGATTGAAGGTGCATCACCACCACCACCTGTGAGATGAGGGACTGTGTCAGCAGGGGGATGGGCCCGACGTTGAGGCTCTTTCGCTCCCAGAGGGTCACTTCGCTGCCCGGCAGCTCCTTGGGGCTGATGATGTCCCAGTCTTCTAGCACGGGACCTGAAAGCCAAAAAGGATGGAATGGTCATTGCCATTTTTCTTAAGTGTCCGTGTTTTATTTGTTATGTTTTTCAGCATGCTGCAGTTTGTGTTGAAATGTTAAGTCTGCTGTCATTACCTTTTCGACATGCAATTTGTTTACATTCTCTGCATTGAATTATAATCGTACTAACTGGCCACTTTTGTGAATACGTGGGGTAAAACCTGGGATAAACTATTGTGAACAAGAAAATTGTGTTGAACAACAACATTACACAGAGATAAAATTAACATATATTTAAGCTATACATCATGCTTATGATAGATATGCAGAGGTTTCATAAAGGCGAATATTTGTCAATTAATCAAATCAATTAAGCTTTGGACTAAGGCACACTAATTTTGTTATCTGGTAAACATTAATTATCGGTGTAAAGTAAAAATGCCGCATATTCTATTGTAGAGAACGTACGAGTCATGCCCTGTGTTGCAAATACTCGCATGCAGCCGGAACAGTTTAATTCCAAGACCGTGTAAATTTCGTAATTTTCAGTTGTTTTGTTGTGATATTGCATTTGGCTCAATTGAAGTAAGGATAGTGCAGTATTCATCCAGGATAGACTCACTATGCAGATGGGCCTTGCGTAAAGATGTTAGCCAATATTTTTTTAGTACAGAAAATGGAGTAATTGAAGGAAATTTAATAATTCACGACGTTTCGGGCGCAACACAAGCGTCCGTCATCAGGTCAAATCAAGATTTAACTGAAGGAAGCCTATGTAAACAAGAGATCCGTTCACAAGCCTATTTCCCACTGCTATCTGCTGGCTACGTTGAATCCAAGCAGATTTAGATGTTTAACAAATGAGCATGATCAAACATCCATTGCTTTCAAAGCACTGGATTAGCATTAATTCAAAGAACAAAAGCCAGTCTATCAAACTAGAAAAAATTGGCAAGGTTTTGATCTGATGGCAGTAATATTCAACGGAGTGACAAAGGAATAGTTTATATTTCACGGCATCTCACACCACCCCTAAGGGTTGGGCAGAACCACACTTCCATTAACAAACATAAACCCTTGCCAACAAGAATTACACAGCTGACACATTTTGCTGCACTAATGCCAACTTTTTTTTTTGTTGTTGCTGGAATTGTTCCATAGGTGATCAGGTGAATTAAATAATCATATCAACCACATGTAACGTGGGCTTGGCGGGCTCATACTCTCTTCAAAAGGCTTCACGTCGATGCGGAGCTGCAGGAAGGGCTTGGACGCGCTGCCAAATGCAGACTTTAAATCCCAGTCGGAGAACATGGACAAATACATCTCCTCACCGCCCGGCTCCTGGCACAGGTAACTCAGCACAAAGTTCTTCTTTCTGTATGCAGACACAAAGAGAAAGGCGCAACAATATGCTCAACTTTGAACCATTTGGGGTTACAGCCCGACTAAAAAATGCCAAAATGTAACAGTAAGAGTGAAGATCCATTATGACAGACTGTTGATGATAAAGGGAAGGCGCTGCCTCACGATTCTTACCCGCTTAGTTCGAAGGCTCGGACTAAAATGTGATGCAGGACGTCCAAGGATGTGATCTGAGGGTCCACAGAGAAGGTCCTGAACTCGGGTTGCATCAGTCCGTCAAATTTCTACGCGAGAGGATTGGGGATTACAAAGTCAGAAACGTGTGTGTTGAAATTTCGCCAAATCCACCAGTCCGGGATTCCTAGAAATCACAAATGTCAGGTTACCCTTACAATCCGGTGGTAGATTTTCATGCGTTTTGCATAATATATTTGTTGGCTACAACTTGGTATACAATTTAGGAAACTCGGACTGGTACATTTGGCTCACTGACATTGGGTTCAGGTGTACACAATTTATATGTGCAGCGGTTTTGTCAAGCCACTAATGCATGAGGGGCCTCCCCATTCCGTGCGAGTCTTGGGGGTTATTTGACCATACTTCACCACACTGGTTAGTGCGCGTTTGTGGACACACAAGAGCATGGACGTAGGAGCATAGTAATGCACAACAATGGATGTTGCTGTTGTCCTCCACTGCACACAACGTAGCCCGCTGCAGCAGCCTATAACACCTGTTCCACACGTGATGGTCACCCATCGAGCACAATCCTGGCTCAACTTCGATGAGCTTCCGAGATCTGAAGAAATCGGGAGCATTATGGGTGATTAGATCAAAGGCACACAAATAATGTACAATGCAAGAACACTTACAGTAACATCTACATTTGAGACAACTATGAAAGGTTGCAATTCCAGGTCATAAACCTACACATTATCTCTGTGAACCGCTGCTCCCCCCTCTCCTCCTCATCATCATTGCAAGCTTCAAAAATAATGGCTACAACCGAACTAATAAAAAGGTATATTTTCATGAAATAAGAACTCATCATAATCAGCCAATGATTATCTAATGCTAGATAATGGTTTCCCGTCCTGTGATGCCACAATCCATCTCACTCCCAGGTGCATTGCCTCCGTCAGCTGCCATTCGGTTGGTCCCATCATTCATCAAGCCATCATCCCTTTGAGATTAACGTCTTGCCCCAATGCGTCTTGCCTCAATGTGCCTCGCCTCAAAGTGTCTTGCCTCAAAAGCCCACATGCAGTCAACTTGATGTCTCCGACTCGCGATTTTCCGATTGCACAAATAAGATTAATCTCATTAAAAAAAACCCAAAGTGGTTTCCCACTGAAAAGCCTGGTCTGGCGCTCATCTGTTTACAGCTCGTTATGCCATTGTTGTGAAATTCCACATTCCCATGTCAGTTGGGGGCAGGGGGGGGTGGCCTAGGCATATCTTTGCATATGAAATTTACGAAATAAACTGCCCAAGAAAGTGGTTGCCCAAAGCATTCATGAGCAGGTGCATTGGGCGTCATGTAATTTACTCGGCGGGCATCATAAAACAAATAAATGAAGGGACGATGCCATCATTTGGCTCCCACGGTCTCTTCCGCCGGGGCTGACGTCACCCCGAACAGGAGTGGTCCCTTTAAAGAAAGAAATAAAAAAATCTGCCTGCCTTGCGGAAAACAAAAAAGTTCCGTCTATCACGACGAACGGGGCGACGACAACATAAAATGCAAAGCTTCCTCGACACAAAAACAACCACTTTGCCATCGATCTCTGGTTTTTTTTTTAAGTCTTAAAAATATAACGCCGAACAACATTTGGCCCACGAATTCTCTCTCGCCCGACGTAGAAGTTAAGAGGCCTGCCTGGCCCCGGCCTCCTCCTTTAGGCAGTAGGCCGGCCCCGGTAGGGGAGCTGGGGAGGGGTGTTACAGACACCGAACACCACGAGGGAGGGCCAGCAGGCGTTGTGGCGGGGGGCCAGCAGGCGTTGTGGGGGGCCCTGCCTCTGTGTGGGCGCCTTACGAAACACAAAAGTTACCCGCGCGATTGTCTAAATCCTTGCGGTCGCGGCACTCCACCACCCTCCACCCCCCGCCTCTCCTCCCCTCCGCTTCTCAAACACCGAGAGGCACGAGGGCCTCCTCCTTCCCTCCCCGGCCTCGCCTCCTCCGACCCCGCGGGGCGCATTCGTTGGGCGCCTCACCGGCTCCGTCCATCCAACGAGGCCCGGCCTCACAGTCATCAACCCACCTTCACTTTGACCCTCACCACGTCGTACTCGTCGTTGAGGTTGATTCCCGCCATCGCGGGGGGGGGGTGGGGTCTACGAGAAGGTCTGTTTGTGTCTACCCTTCAAATTCTGTAAAGATTATAGCTGCTGCTGCTGCTGTTGTGGTGGTGATTGTTGTTGTTGGTGGCGGTGGTGGTTGCTTGAGATGCCGGGCCGGTGCCCTGCTGCTACCCCCACCCCCCATCACGACCACCGCGAAATCCCTAGCGCGCTCCCGCCCTGCGCCGCCCTTTAGATTCCCTCGCGCGGATACGCCGAGCCTCGCCGCTCATTGGTCGAGAGCCCCTGCTGGGGGGGTGGGGTGGGGGCGGGGAGTGACGTCACGTGGGGGGGCGTGTGCTACGGTAGGGATGATGTCATTTGATTTTTTTGGGCCCTTTGGTGGTGGAATTTTTGTTTTCAATTGTCGGGTGCCCCCTCCCCACTCCCCGCTATGCAGAGGAGATGTAATGTTATGTTTAGAAATAAAGGATATATATTTTTTACATATGGTTATTTTTTTTCTTGTGTTAGGAGGGAAAAGGAGACCACCGGATTTGTTTTTTCATCAGCTTCGAATTCACGTGTTTGCAGAAATGATATTTCTCGCCAATATGATGTAAAATCATGAGGTCATTTGAACGATTGATTGATACGGTATTTTCAATCCGAATGTGGTCGAAATGGACAAATCTCCACCATTTTCCGGCGGTTTAGTTTATTCCGACATGTGCGTTGTCTCTAAGCACAACACTCCATTCAACCGACATGGAATGTAGCGGCTCAGACAGTGCAGAACCAATAACAAGACCACTATTTTGGCCAAATGGGGAGTCCATTAAGAGAGGCTTTCACTTAAACAAAAAAAATCGTGTCCTTTCATCTGGACGAAAGATGAAGACGCATATCTGTCGGGGGAAAATGAAACGTTTGAAGATGTGCGAGTTGATACATCAGAGAAAATGTGATTTGTCCACGTCTATGCTCCTTACCTACACCAAGACACAGCGACCTGCAGTGGGGGTAAAGATTGCCCAAATAATCCCCGTGATTTGAATTGCACGGTTGAGGCCCTCATCCAGCAGTGGATTGACAAATGGTATGTACACGTGTACAATATACAGCGAATATAGCGTTGGACAGCGAGTTACAGTGATTAAACAGAAACAGGCAATGGTGTCATCTAATGAATGTAAAACTAAGGTGTCAAGTTGCTTTTCGTAACTTTAAGCATTTATATGTTTAAAAACACATTTCATATGTTTAAACATATAAATGTGCTGAAAGCAATGCAGTCGTGGCAAGCCTAAACGCATCGTCGTCATTGGCCACTTGATAAATCGCAAACAAAAGTGGATATTTATTGTAACATTACATTTTATTTTAAAAAGCAAGTACAATACAGGACATATAAATCCCTTGCGCAATGTACACTCATTAAAGATCACAAAAAACAGCAGTTCAGAAATCTGTATTTATTTATCTTGACAATAAGCTGTGGCAAAGTTTCGATGCCACAATACACTGCAGGAATGAAATGATCAGCAGTGTATGTCTTTATGTGAAAAATGTTGAAAATTTTGGCACAGGTAAAACCCCCACTTCGCAATAAACGTTCATCTTCGATCAAGTAGCATTTCTAGGTGATTGGGTCATCGGGTCGATGCTGTGAGCTCTCAGAGGCTAAGCTGAGACACGTGACCAACATGGACAATAGTAAAAATAAGAATAGGTTTTACACCTTTCTGGCACTAAAACAGGAGGTGTAAAGATGTTCAAACACAAAATAGAAACATTTTGCAAGCAATCATATCCGCATTAACCACACGTACTTGTGAGAAAGGGTAAAACCTAACATGCAAACAAAAACATGCTCTGATAAACACATTCCTGCGGAGGGAGCTGGTAGGAACGTTGGGTTGCTCGGTCAGTGGCCAGGGTCAACGGCGGCACCACGTGGTGTATTCCGCAAATATGCCCGACTGTGAGGGCGGGCACAAGCCGGCGTGAGTAGGTTAAACGTTGAGTTTTATAAGGGCACCACGGGGTGACCAGCCCCTCCCTACCCAGCACCTCTCCACCCTCCCCACCCAGCCCCACCCTCCCCTCCCCACCCAGCCCCTCCCCACCCTCCCCTCCCCACCCAGCCCCGCCCCACCCTCCCCGTCCCACCCAGCCCCGCCCCACCCAGCCCCTCCCCACCCTCCCCTCTCGACCCAGCCCCACCGCTCCCATTTTTGGATGCACGACGGACGGACGGACACAATAATCCCCTGTGGGCTGGTGTAACCAGGAGGTTCCTACCAGTATAATATATGGAATTGTCTTTGAAACTGATTGGTCTAGACCAGAGACAACCTTCTTTAGCGCCTCGACTCACCAGTGCCCGACCAAAGAACGCAAAAAGGCATTCTCCAAAAGGCGTTCTTTGGTCTGACTGGTGGTGAGGCTAGGCCCTAAAGAAGGTTGCTGTCTCTGGTGTAGACCACTCAGTTTCAAAGACAATGCCATATATTATTATCAGAGCATTTTTTTTTGCATGTTCACCACAAGTACGTGTGGTTAATGCAGATATGATTCCTTGCAAAAGGTTTATATTTGGTGTTTAAACATCTCAACGCCTCCTGTTTTATTGCCAGAAAGGGTAAAACCTATGCTTATTTTTTTCATACTTTGATACTGTCAAAAAAAGGTCCCATGTTATGGGCAATAGAAATTGTCATCGGGCTTGTGGGGCTACGTGCTGGACAGCAGAGGGCAGTGGAACAAAATCCATGGTGGCGGTGCACTGTTACGCTCCGACTACTTGGCCGTCTGCATTCACCAACCCGCACTGACCAGCCTGGTGGTTTGGCCAAATAACCCCCATGAGCCACACGCTCTGGTGTAAGGGCCTTCATTAAACAAAAGGGATTGCAAGTTAAATTTTAGATTTGAAGCTTTCGTGACTGCAAGGATCCATACTCTTTGGTTCTATTCGGTAAAGTTGTTTTATTTTTTATCTACGTTACTTTACCGAATAGAACCAGAGTAATTCATATTCTTAGTTCTTTCGGTAAAGTCACGTTGAAGGGAAACAACAAAATAATAAAATATATATAAAACAACGTGACTTTACCGAAAGAACTAAGAATATGAATTACTGCAGTCACGAAAGCTTTAAATCAAAATAGAACCAGAGTAAGTTAAATTTTATTGAAGGTGCTGCCTTCTGGCAGTTATTTAAAAAATAGCACTGCCCACCATCTAGTGTGGAGTTTGGAAATTATCTGCAAATGCTCTTTGCTAAATTAACCAGAGGACCTTTTAAAAATGTGTGCAATTTGTTTCGAATACACCTACAGTAATCACATGCTCATTCAGTTGTCTTTTTCCAGGATTGCCTGACGGAGCTTCATGACCTTTTCAAAAGGGCTCTCCTTTGGAATGCTTGTTCATGTATTAAAAGTATGATACGTGTGCATATCTGACAGTTACAGGTTCGCCCTGATCAATTCACCACCCACACTCAGTGCTGTATTGGTGCACGGTGTTAACCGTCAATTTCAATAGATATTCACAGCATCCAATCTTTTCAAATACAGTAATGCATACTTAGTCTCGTGTGCATTCACTTCTACTTCGACATTACTGCAAAGCATTTTCCCATGGTGAAAGCAGTGTGCACTTTATTGTCCAGAAAACCTATTTGCGCATGGTGGTGTAACATTTTTTTAAATAGATGTTTACCAATTCGACCTTTTCACGCATCCGCCTAAACCGCAGTCCATCCCCCAGCGAGGTGGATATGTGACGTGTGGTATTTTTGTGTGGGGTTGGAGACCCCACGCTTGGAGAAAAACCCATTAATATTATGCTTTACGATTTTCACAATCCTATTTAATTCACCTACTTTCCCAAACCGTATTCGCTCATGACCCTTGCCAACACGCAGCACCAGAATTTAATCTCATTTCATCAACTGTCAATCAACGGGTACTTATGGTTACGTGCCTCAGCGCCTTATCTAATGTATATGCAAATGCTTTGAGATTACTAAATGTGAAAGTGTGGGCATTCGGCGGCACAGAGTATTTTATTTTATAACCCACTTACACCAACTGTGACTTATTCCAGCCATTTTCACAGGGCACTTGCAATTGTGGATATTTACATGCTAAGGGTGGCTATATCCTAGGAGCTTCTCCATAGAAATTTTGGAAAACGAAAATGCAGTTAAGATGTTTTGTTTATATATGACGCTTAAATCATATAATGCTACCTACATCAAATCAAGTCCCAGTCTTGTGTACCATTACATAAGGGTGCTGGTATGGTAGAACTCTTATCCGTTCACACATTACCCTGTTATCTGCTGGAGCTGTAGGGTCAGTGAAACCTATTACCCATGATCATATTCTTCCCATTATCCACAATTATTCCTGGATTTTCCCACGATGCTTTGTGGTAGAATGGTGTTGCATTATTCACACATTTTACACAGATAGGTGGCATTAATTATCAAGTTTATCCCATTAACCACGACGTTCGTCCATCACGTGACCACGGATTATTGGAGTTATACTTACTAAAGTTTCACCTATACGTTTCCCTTACACACATGTGGAGGAGAGACCCGCTCTCCCCCTTCCCGCCGACACATGAATACCAGCAAGGGTGACGAAATAATCACATTGCAAAAAATGTCTGCACAGTTTTGCTTAAAATCCAATGCTCCAATCAGTCTCATTGGCATGGGGCCTAGTGTGAGCATGTGATGCCTTTTGTTACATCCCTCCTTTCTCTTTCGGCAATTAGCCTTGCCCACATTTTTTTCAGTTTAGCTCACGAATAAATAACTTCAGGTACAATGTAATATTCGTGATTTCCAAAACAGACGTTTGACCTGGCTTTTTGGGTGGGCAATCAGGGTGGCTATCCAGAGCTCAAAGCTGCACGGAGCACTGAAAACATACGAATACTTAGACCTCTATGGCTTTTATCCAGTTTTACAAATGTGGCATAATACAGTTCATACATACAGCATGTAATACTTCACACACACACACACAAGTTACATAGCTGACATCGCTGAAAACTAAAATAAACAATTATATACGGTTATTATCAGACGATTATTTGAACGGACATTACATTGTTCGGTGCACCATTCGCATTTGGTTCTGCTTAGTTCCTTTTGATAGGTAGGCGGACTAGTTAGAGTTTATATTCTCGTGATGTCTGCGGAGGTGTAAGTTAGGTCTAAGGGTGGTTTTGTAAACGCACCACAAAGTTATTCTGAAATACTCAAAGAACATCGTTTGCTCCGTCTTCACGTAATGCACGTTTCACATTTCACCATTGCCACAATAATCCAAATCGTGAGTTTTCAGACATCTTCACCAGACACCTGTTGGGGGCAGAGTGAACAGAGTCCCACATTTAATTGCTAGGCACTCCTAATGAACACTATATGCCACATGCATTTTACTTTGTTCTGTGTACGCATGTTCAACATCGTCCGCACACCATACGTGGCCAACCGTGCAAATTGAGGTGCGGGGGAAGAACAACAAACTAAACACAAAAAACAGTTCTATAGAAATGAGTATTCAATCTAGATTAAACGGTGCATAGCTCCAGTGGCTTGATATTAAAGACATATCAGCAGCCTGTCGCTTAATTAGCTCCATCTGCACCTTCATGTTCTATATGCTCTGATGACTGGCGGTAAAGTGCAGAGACTGCGCGACAAACATACTACCGTATTCTCCGGATTATCAAATATAAGATGCTCAGGAGGGTAAAATACATCCCAAACTTGCGCCCGGTGTTAATAAGGTTATCCACACCTTGTCACACAAAATACGCCTGCTAGATTGTAAGACTGCGCCCTCAACTTGTGATTTTAAAATACGGAAACAGGGGAAACAAATGTATCTTCCGATCTGGAGAATGCGGTGATAAGTAGCGCCTGTTGTAAGAAAGTCGACGGTACCCCAAACTTTCTGTGACATCACGACGATTTGCATGATGTGTGATGTAAAGCAACTACAGTGTTATTTTGCTTTTTACATTGTTCCAGAGATTCTATAAATACGTGCATACATGTACATGAGCGGTCACCACGAATTTGCTGTAATGGTAACTTGGTAGTGGGATTTCCCCACTCGAGAAACTTTTAGCATCACCCACTTCCAAAAACTACTCAATTCATTTGAAAGATCACGAAAATATGATGTTATTATTCGATTCAGTAAACCTGAACCTTTCGGAAAAAAAACCCCAGATACGTAGCCTCCGTTCAAAGAAGAAAAAAAGTGTAAAGTAGTTTCCCTCTACAAAGGGTTGGGTGCAGGGCCGGATTAAGTTTTTGTAGGCCCCTGGGCTACAGGTACTGTGAGGCCCCTGGGCTACAGGTACTGTGAGGCCCCTGGGCTACAGGTACTGTGAGGCCCCTGGGCTACAGGTACTGTGAGGCCCCTGGGCTACAGCTACTGTGAGGCCCCTGGGCTACAGGTACTGTGAGGCCCCTGGGCTACAGCTACTGTGAGGCCCCTGGGCTACAGGTACTGTGAGGCCCCTGGGCTACAGGTACTGTGAGGCCCCTGGGCTACAGGTACTGTGAGGCCCCTGGGCTACAGCTACTGTGAGGCCCCTGGGCTACAGGTACTGTGAGGCCCCTGGGCTACAGATACTGTGAGGCCCCTGGGCTACAGGTACTGTGAGGCCCCTGGGCTACAGGTACTGTGAGGCCCCTGGGCTACAGGTACTGTGAGGCCCCTGGGCTACAGGTACTGTGAGGCCCTTGGGCTACAGGTACTGTGAGGCCCCTGGGCTACAGGTACTGTGAGGCCCCTGGGCTACAGCTACCGTGAGGCTCCTGGGCTACAGGTACCGTGAGGCTCCTGGGCTACAGGTACTGTGAGGCCCCTGGGCTACAGGTACTGTGAGGCCCCTGGGCTACAGGTACTGTGAGGCCCCTGGGCTACAGGTACTGTGAGGCCCCTGGGCTACAGGTACTGTGAGGCCCCTGGGCTACAGGTACTGTGAGGCCCCTGGGCTACAGGTACTGTGAGGCTCCCAGTAATATTTTCAAAAGGAAAACAAAGTTAAAGAAAAATAAAATTTATTTTTACCAAGGCTAACAACATATAACATTCAACATTCACAAATTAAATAACTTTTCACTTCATCTCTGGAGGCCCTCCAGCTGGCCGAGGCCCCTGGGCTGCAACCCCTAAGGGCCCGTGCTCTAATCCGGCCCTGGTTGGGTGTTGCCCTAAATGGAAAACTGCAGTTTTTATAATGGCTATTTTTATTGTCATAGTTTCTCCTTTCATCCTTGAAAAGTTCCAACTGTAAACTCTCACACATGGCTAGGTTGAAACACAGAAACATTGACACATGTTTTGTTCGTATCTGTTGGGGGGCCTAGATTTAAAAGTTATTTTTAAAAATATATTATTTTTCTAGTTACGAGCATGGACTCAATTATACGTAAGTGCATCAAATTTTCCAGCTTCAATATTGTTGTCCGAGTCTCACAAAGCTATGCACCTTTAGAATGCTTACAGCTCATTGTTCATGTCCGAGGCTCACAGAGCCAGACTTAGGCCCATTTCTAATTCTTTAGGTTTGAACTAAACTGAACTAGTTTTTATTTGATCAGGTAAGGCGCACTGAGCTATATAGCTATTTTTCAGAAACGATTTGTCCAACAAAGTAGCTTATAATTTGGAAATTGATAGCAGCCAATACTCTCAACGCATGTTGTTTCTAAATGTGCAAGCAAAAACCGCAGGACCAGGAGAAAAATCCAAGCGAGCACGGGGAGAGAGACATGCAAACTCTAAATATCCATGCGTCAGGGTCATGACCTCCAGTATACCAGGTGAGGTAGTAAACATCTCGCCACCGTGCCACCCTTTAATGTTTAATCTTAATCAAATTCATTCATTTTCATGAATGCTCATTGATGATACTGGCCTGTTCAACTCAGAAGGCCAGTATCAACAGCAGTATGACCATGGCAATCGTACATTTTAACGTAACTCTAAGAGGCGTGCATCGTTGGCGATATTCACACAAAGGTGACTCACCTCCATCATCAACTGATGCAACATCTGTTGAAGATTGTTCAGCTTCTGGACCATATCCTGGTTTTGTTCTGGGGACTTGGGCGAAGGGAACTTGTCGACTCCCAGGAATCGGTTGGGACTCTCTGCTGTAGATTTTTGAGTATTCATGGCCGTTAAATATCTTGGCGTTTGTGGGTTTCTTGGGTCACATGACCGCTGTGAGGTGTGTTCACATTCTGTAAAATGAGCAATAATAATATTTGTTTCGGATATGATGATATTTATGATGCATACAGTAAGTATATTATTATTTTGACTTCAAATTGTTGCTTAGTTTGGAAAACTGAATAGCAATCATCACCACAGCAACCACAAACATCACAATAACCCATCATCAATCATATATTGTCATCATCCACCATCACCAATAATCATTATCATGATAATTATAATAACGATCATCATCATTATTCCCTCTTCACGGATGATAAAAATGAGCACCGTCTGGTTAGGATGTCGTACGATAAGATTCGTCCTGGGCATAGGAATAAAAAATAACAGACTTCCACTACTTTCTCAGGACTGTCAACAGCCCTAAGCAAAACCAATTGCTCACGTGAGTATGGAAATGGTGATTCTGCTTTGCTGAACAAAAAAAAATACGGGTAGTTTGTGGCTCCAGGTTGAGCATACAAATGCCACCTCTGGTTTTCCAGGCTCAGAGCTCAGCGCTCTGACCTCTGAGCCTCTAAGTCAGGGGTCACCAAACTACGGCCCGCGGGCCGCATCCGGCCCGCGACGTCAGTCCATCAGGCCCGCCGTCAGAGCCTACGCTCTGACGTTACCATGGTTTCCATGGCAACACACACAAATACGCATCCTTTCCCGCCCACAAGTATTGAACAGAATGATTATGCGGCCCGCGCTCGTCATTCTATCAGTATATCCGGCCCGCTGTGAAAAAAGTTTGGTGACCCCTGCTCTAAGTCCCCATTGCACACACATCCTAATCTTGGTTATGGTATTTCCATACCCGTTTTCTTCTGATCAGTGTCGACAAGGCCATAAGCATCAAGAACTTCACGAATAGCTTCGGACGATTTCTTGTCAGTTAACTGCTGCTCGTTGATTCCAGCTTTCATAAACACATCCTTCATCTCGTTTGGAATGTTCTTGATCTGAAGAATGCAGCAAAAGAGCATCGACATGTATTTTAAATCCGCAATCTTCGCTTTAATCTGTCACGCTTGTCTAGAAGTGTCTTCTGCTTGTTGTGATGTGCGCTTCTAAAATAAGCGACCAGTCGTTATTTCAGACAGATGATACCACCAAAGTCACTTAGACTGACTGCATCCTTGAGCAAACACAGATCATCTACTGAGTAAGTTGTGCTCTATAGCTCTCTTATGTCGTCATAATTGGCTCCATATGAAACATTTTATTGGGATTATACATAGCAACCATTGCACCCTTTAACACGTAGGCTTTCGCGATCAATATCATCCATAATAGAAGTTTTTTTAGGTTAGATCACGATCTAACCCAAAAAACCTCTTATGCATTGCACCCTTAATGTAAAAAGCCTGGCACGATCCTCTGGAAAAAGAGTCAGTGAGACTTTCCTGGGTAAGTAAGAGTCTTGATTTATCCTGGAGAAATCCGATGACCTATGAAGCTCTTTTTCACAAATATCCAGTACATCCGATGTCCGGTAAATGTGTGTTCGGGTCGTACCACGTGTTGTTCGGCACAATGTCCGACGTTTCATTGCATGTGCTGGGAACTTCTTCAGCAAGTGGAGAGAAACGTCGGTTCTTAAAAAAAAGCTCTCAGCATGTGGAGCGAAATGCGGGACATCTTAAAATACATCGGAGAGTGAGAGATCATCTACATTGACAAGGTTGTGAAATTGTTTGTGAATGTGACTTACATCAAAGCCCTTTAACGGATCCCACGCTATGTGATGGTTGTGCCTGAAATGTACAAAGAGCACAAGTTAAATGTTGCCGCTTATGAATTCTTAATGTTTCATATTCGTCTCACTCGGCAACAGTCCCTTACTGTGTCACTGTATCCCACTTTGCGATGAGAAGTAGGTTAATCAAGCTCTAGTGAGCCAATGCACTATTTTGAGTTGACATAAGCGCATGCGAAATAGTGAAATTTGAATCGGGCTCGTCTTCCGGAGGGTCCTTTTGCGGGACGTTTAGAAGGAAACTGGGATTCCAGAAATCAAAATACACTCGGGGCCAAGAGCCTACGGGGCCGAATAGGAATATTACTTGCTGTACTGCCCCTTACAGGGACCTCCTTTACCTTGCAGGTAGGCGTCTCATGCAGGTTCCACCTTTGCATGATCCAGCAACCCAAATCGCTGGACTACGTTACAGGCATTCTCCACCACACTTGGCTATGTGCACTATATCAACGCGTGTGCTGTTGTCGCCTTTCCCAGTTTCTGCATACTGTAGACTATTTTAGTTAATCGTGTTATATGAATTTTTATTTTTATTTCATTACATCCATACTAAACACAAAGATCCCCCGTATAGCAAGCGTTGTTAGCGAGCACATATGAAGGGCTGGCACTGTACACGAGGGGGTGGATGGCCAGCACCACGCCCGACCGCCTTTGTCTCCCTAGTAGCAATGTTTACACATCACACAGGTACTCATTTGAGGCTGAGTCGACCTAGGGGAGGCCCAGGACCGGTTCAGATAATCATCGCTGGTATTGACCATGAGCGGGAATCGAACTTGTGTCGCCGGGTTCGTAGCTCAACTCGCTAACCGCTACACTACCGCTCCCCACACAAACACAACTCAGAAATATGTTCTGCTGGATATTTGCGTTTCCCTTGCGTGGCTCATGATGTTAAGCTTGCATTGGCTGCACATCCAGCTATATACAGGGTGCTTCATTTTTTTTAAAGACTTATATGGGACTATCGTTTTTCATGGGAAAAGAGCGGATAATACACGGTAACATGATAACGAATGTACAGCATGTTAATAACTGTAAAAAGTCAAAGAGTCTCCACTTGTTCGCCATCATTGTCAACACGTGGCCTGGAATCTTCTCCAGGTGGTTTCCAGAGCCCGGAGGCGGCACATTTCTTGTGGTGTTGTTGCAAATTCTCAGAAGTGTTAAAACATTTTTGAAGCACCCTGTATAAGTCAGTGCTCAGGGCTATCAAAGTTGATATTTTCAACAACAGGTAATTGATGAAAAACGAATAGGCTTTACCCTTTCTGGCATTAATACAGGAGGTCTTAAGATGTTCAAACACCAAATAGACACCTTTTTGCAAGGCATCAAGTATGCATTAATCACACATGCTTGTGGTAATAGGTTATCTGAATACCTGTATTATTGCTGGAAAGGGTAAGCACCCTGTATTAACATTCTCTCTTAAGCAAATCTGCTCATGGGTAATTCTGCAAGTGATCTCAACCTACTGGAAGTCTTTGGGGCCACTGATTTCTTTTGTGGGTTTTCCGATTTTCTCGGCCATCTTGAGCCAATATTTATTCTTCTTAACGGTTTCGGTGCCCGTAGGTGGAGGTGCATCGTTCTGATTTGTGTCTGAAAAACATTGCATTCGAAAAACAATAAAAACAACACACCAGCCGATGTCCGAATCGCCCAGAGTGCATGCGGCGGTCTCGCCAGATCTTGGCAATTGGCACCCGGATTTTGATTTGTACCGAGATCTGGTACCAGTATTATGACGTATGATGAATTTCTTTCGCACCATACATAACCAACCGTGCTAATCGGAGATGCGCATGCAACGGTAATTATTCTTATTATGCTTGCGTACCATGGAAAGCCTCACTGAGTCTCAAGGCTGTTCCGCGCGAGGGTTATGCCAAGTATGAAGCGTTGCTCACAGGAGGTGCGGGGAAAGGACAACCAACTAAATACGCAAACAAATAACCTTTACACTTTATTGCAGTATACTTCCACAGGCGTTAATAGACCTAGGGAGAATGAGAAAAAAATATGGCTTTGGTTCTACTGTGGAAAAGTTGGCAGGCAACCTTGCCCGTGCCCTCTCGTGCATGCGCGCGAAGATGTTGCTCACTTGTCGGTAACGTGTGAGTTGAGCGCGTTGGCAGCAGCTGCGGAGGGGCATTGGGCAGCCGTGATGGAAGTGGAGGCGGCAGCGAAGCGTCTAAAGAGCAACACGTGGGATTTATTTTCTCTTAACATGTACACGTCCCACTTGGGCGAAGACCCGCGGGGCCGGCTCAAGACACGCTTGACGGGACGCGGTCGCTCGGCCGGCCTGGGAATGCCTGGGAATTCCCCAGGAAGCGCTCGAGTCTGTGTATAGTAGTGTATAGTGTAGAGTAGTGTATAGTGTATAGTAGTGTATAGTAGTTTGTAGTGTGGTGTATAGTGTAGTAGTGTATAGGGTAGTAGTGTATAGTGCAGTAGTATATAGTGTATAGTAGTGTATAATAGTGTAGTGTATAGTAGTGTAGTGTAAAGTAGTGTATCGTATCGTGTAAAGCAGTGTATAGTGTAGTGTATAGTGTAGTGTATAGTCTAGTGTATAGTAGTGTATAGTGTAGTAGTGTATAGTAGTGTAGGAGTGTATAGTAGTGTATAGTGTATAGTAATTTTGTGCTGGAATCTGTCACCGCCACGACTCGACACGCTGCCGCCGCGACCCTCACCAGGACAAGCGGACTGAGAAACGAACGAACGAACGTATGCAGTCACCGCTCGCTATTCACGAGTTCTGCATTCGCGAATTTCACATTTTTGCGAGTCACTAAATGCATACGGATTCCCATTTTGCGCCCCGCCAGATTCCAGTGTTTGCGCGTCTGTGTGCCAGAGCACCGACACGCCGGGGAGGTGCGCGCAAGTTTTGTTCATTTGAAATTGTCCGCGAAGATCAGGCACGCCACCTCGGCTGCCCGCTTTATCCTCATTTTTACCTTGTACGGTCCGTATTATACCTACTTGTTAATATACCTTAATCATGGCTCCCAAGCGTCCAAACACATTGTTATTTATAACTTACTATTTACTGTAGTCATTGTTATTAAACATTTACAATTTCCCCCCCTCCCTCCCTCCCTCCCCCCATGTTCACTGTAACCAGGAACGTAACCCCATTTTCCCCGTTAAACGAGGTTTCCGAACTCGCGAATTCTGCATTCGTGAGAGTTGTAAATAACGCAACCCTCGCGAATAGAGACACGCTCACTGTACTCTCCGTCAAGTTTCTGCTCTTCTGACCAAATCACCCGGAGTGAGTGTGCTGATCTCGGCAGGGTTGAGTTTCCAAAGTGCGCATGCAGGTGACTGCCGTAAACAACAAACAGGTGTGACGTAGGCTGCGAAGCTACCTAAAGTAATAGGTTTTACCCTTTTAACTGGCACAAAAACTGACACCTTTATTCAAGGCATCATGTTTGCAATAACCACAACACAAGCAGTCAAAATGCAAACAATAGAGACAACTCTGATAATAATATGCACTGTCCTTGAATTTGATTGGTCCATACCCGAGACGGCTTTTCTTAGAGCCCAGTCTCCACTAGGCTTGAATAAGGTGTCAGTTTTTGTTCCAGTTAAAAGGGTAAAACCTATTACTATAGGTAGCTTCGCAGCCTACGTTGGACACACCAGTGGAGACTAGGCTCTAAGAAAAGCCGTCTCGGGTGTGGACCAATCAAATTCAAGGACAGTGCATATTATTATCAGAGTTGTCTCTTTTGTTTGCATTTTGACTGCTTGTGTTGTGGTTATTGCAAACATGATGCCTTGAATAAAGGTGTCAGTTTTTGTGCCAGTTAAAAGGGTAAAACCTATTACTATATCTTGTTACTGGCAAAGGAGGTCTCATAATGCGAAGCTACCTGCTTGGGACGTAGAGGGCAGCGCAATGAAACTAATTATTGGACAGTACTTTTATGGTCCCGCGTGTATACCAACCCACACTGGCCAGTGTGGTGAAGTATGGTCAATTAAAATAACCCCCGCAACGTGCAAAGGTGAGGGGAGGCCCTCAGCCAGCAGTGGATTGACAGAAGGGCTGTACAAGTACAAAGTGTCTGCAGGTGAATGAGCATTGTTTTACAAGTGTATGCGGTGCTTTGGTATTATTTACAGATGCACGTCCCCTGATTTGTACAGAATCAATGCAAGACAATCGATCGTTAATCTTGAATTAATGTTGCCTAATTTGTAACGACTGCCATGAAAAACACCACAGTCCAATAACAAGGTGTTATTGGTTATTTTAAGCTGCTGCCGTTAACTTCACTTGGTAATTACTGGATATTAAATCGATTGTTGGCAATTGCCCTTCGGTGTGTATTTAATGTCTCAATTATTATTTTTTTGCTATCATTACTGCAGTGCCATGCAGCAAAAAATGTTCAGTTGATAAAAAAAAAACATTTGCCATAGCATAGTTCCCATTGTGTTTTTGGGCTCCTATTACGCATCGATACAAATAAAATAAAAAAAACGAGGCCATGACCAGTCTAAACATGTGAGAAGGGTCAATGTTTAACGCATCGTCTCAAAATGAGTTTTCGGAAACGCATTGCAAATGAAAGTTGTCGTTGGTGTTGGATGTGTTTTGTACATCTATGCACGAGCGGTGGCGTAACGTGGCAACGTGGCATGGATCCTGGTGCAGGGATTGATATTGGAGGTGGATGTGGGCACTTCTTCGTCGCCTGGTGGTTGTCCCCTCCAACCCGAGGGCCCCACTTGCCCACCCCGCTGACTAGATGCCTACTGCTCAACATTTCCCCACCTCCTCCCGGTATTCATTCCCAAGGTGTTCCTGGACCGCTCAAAAAGTCCTTATTTTGTGCGGGAGCGTAAGAGGCAAAAGGAAACAAATACAGTACCGAGTTTGTTCGTCCAGGTACTTGAGGACCACTCGCGTACCTTTGTGAATTGGCAACAACCTCCCCGGAAGTGTATCGAACTTTGCAGGGAGTGCACCGCTGGCTGGCTTGCTGTTTCCTGGACACAGTAGATGCAGCTTTTCGATAACGATCGTTTTGAAATCTGCGGCCTCTGCTTCGGTCTCGAAACAGAGAGCGGCTTTCTTGTCCTGTGGGAGGAAAGAAGGGTCGGTGATCAACACTTGCGAAGGTTTTTTCGGTGTTCAAATGTTATGAACTCATTTAAGTATGTATGGTCAACTTCTT